GGCTGCCTGAAAGTTGAAAAAAAAAAACCCAAGAGTTTTTTTTTAATAAATATTTTCAAGTTGCACAACTAATGCATTTTATTTTGTTTATAAAATACAGGAGGAAAATTTATCAGGTTTATTTCCACTAATCAGCAAATATTTCTCCGTGGGCAATTTCAAGGAAGTGGAGAAAATGGATAACTCTAGGAAAGAACAGAACAATATTAGTCAGGGTCTGTCTTTATCTTAGCACAGAACAGTGCAAATGAGATGCTCAGAGGGAGATTGAGCATCAGCTTTTCAAAATTGGTTAAGCACAGGTAGGCACTTAATAGGGCTCTCAAAGGTCCCTACAACTTCCTCTGGTTACACAAACATTTAGGACATCCACATTTCCAGTGAGGCCACAGAAGGATTCAGAAAGACAAAATACCTTTTTCTGAAACTAATGTAACAGTACCTAATCCCATTTAACGAGTTAATGGAGTAAAAAAAAACGCCATTTCCACAGGAAGAAGAAACATCTACCTCCTGTAATCTCGACAGGCAGTGATGCTCAAACCCTTCCACAGAAGAGTAGTGGGGTTTTTTCTTACAAGACCAAAGCCTCCAAACGTAACTCTGGACATACAGAAGGTGGAATTTGTTGTAAAACTGCTGCAGAGTCGAAATTTATGATAATGATTTTTTTTTGTTTCTGTGGCTACAATAAAGCACAATTTAAATGTGAACTGAGCTCAGAGGTGTTTTTCATTCTGTCAGGACTCCCAGTTTTGCTCTCAATTCCATGTTTGCAGTCTAGTTGTAGCCAAAGAGAAACAACTGCATCTTGATGTGTGTTGGAACAATGAGTTACCTCTTGATTTTTCTGTGCTTATTTCAGAAGGACCATACTCTCCACTTTACTGCTAAATTCTCTAATATTTCCCCCCTCTGTTCCTTAAAGAAGAGTTTGGAAAAGAAAACCCCTGGCTGTGCCATCCACAATGGATGTGCCATCCCAGCAGCCAACCAGCTACACTGGGGCCAGGTGGCAAACACCCCCTAAATGCTGCCTTCAAACATCTCTCAGTCTGTCCAGGGAGCCTTTTCCTCACACCAGATAAAATTCTGGGCACAGAAAGGACCTGGCTGAGGGAGAGAAGGAGAAATAATATGGGATTTCCAGTTTCTTTTTCAGTCACTAAGAAAATATCCTTTGAAATAACAATCCTTAAGGTGAAAAAACATTTTTACTGCTCCAAGATGTGATTTTTACTTTTTTTTTTCTTTTTTTTTCTTTTTTTTTTAAAGCAGAACAGAACTCATGCATGCTTTGGTCATTTGTGAGCCCTGGCAGGTTTCAGAGAGGTTCAGAACTGTGGGATATACAGTTTTATCCCTGCATTTGGAAGCTTGCTGCAGGAAAACCTCTGAGAGCAGAGGGACCTCTCCTGTGCCTCTCAACAGGGTCTGAGCACTGGAGGACCAGAGATTTGGGATGGCAGCACCATCCAGACTGGCTCTTTCCAGCCCAAATGCTCAGCTCAGCAGCACAATTAAACCCAGTTCTTGCTTCCCAGACCCACAAAGCCCAGCCATGTCACAACTGAGCAGCCTGAATAACATCTGGCCTTCCCAGAGGACCTTCCTGTACAAGTACCAAAGCCTTAGTTTGGTTTTTTCCATGTCAGCCAAGAGCTGATCCATCCCTCACCACACAAGGACACTTATTGAATGTTGACAGAGAAGGAAGTGTACCACCTACTGAGTCACCCATGCCACATCCTAACACCTGGCTTTGGCCTTGCTGGGCTGCCACTTAAACATGAATCTACCCTGACTACAGATGTAGTAAATGTCTATAATAAAACCTCAAACCACACAACACTTTCCTGGATGGGAGGTATCTTGTGATCCCCTACAGTTCATGGACTTCCAGAAGAAAACCGAAATCCAGGTGCTTTGCTTTTATCCAATTTTAGGAGTAACAACCGTGCATGTCACATCCTGAAGCAAGGCATAAAATTAACCTTCCTTCAAATCAGAAATAAAATCACAGCTACAAGTTATTTTTCTTTTAAATTGACTGCACAAAATTACGGCCAAATCTGCCAAGGTGTTAGAAGACTAATCTCCCACATACCTTCCTTAACCACCTCCTCCATGAAAATTCATCCAAATTCTTATCATTCTCACAAGACTCCTGAACATAAAATGCAGGTTTTTTAAAGCCCAGCTACAGACATTTCTTACAAGTTAAATTCTTGCTCGCTGGGCAATGAATCATTTGCCATCCCCAGTACGCCCCATAGTTGACAAACAAAGCAGTATTTGCCACCCTATTCCAAATACACGGTACAGCGTATTTTGGGAAACGATGCTTCATTAAGAAAACATGGTCTAGGGCAGCACAGTGATACAGGAGTCACCCAAATGTGCTACATCCTGTGACTGGCTCTGAAGTAAGTGTGAAATCAGTCACCAGACACCAGAGGAAGCCACTCTTTTCTCGGGGACATCAGCTCCCAGCTGGGCTCGCTCACCTTCCGTCTGTCCCGACTCAGACCGCAACCCCTTAAACCCTCCCGAGGAGCTGAGCCCCCCGGCAGCCCCCAGGGCAGGAGGATCCAGCCCACACCCTTCGAAGGCACTTTCTGCAACGCGCTGCCACATTGTTGCCACATTGTTTCCACAACAAAATCCGTGTTTCTCTACCTAAAGCTCCCCTTCCTTCCGGATCTGCTGCCTGAAGAAATGAAACAGCTCCGTGCTCAAGCTCAGAGCCCAAACCCGTAAATGCGCAGTTGGAGGGGAAGAAGAGGGAAGAGAGGGAAAAGAGTAATGACAAGGAGGGATCCTTTTTAAGTCTGAATTTCCTCCCTCTTTCAAACTGATGCTTGCAACGTGTAATTTTGAAAAACTTTACATGCAGGGAGTATTTGCAACATATTCTTTTTTAGATACGGAATATCAAGAGCATCACCCAGATTAGTGCCTCTTTGCACAGGAGGGAGAGAAACCAAGAGAATGCAAACAGCTCCAAAAGCAAAATCACCTCAGCACATACAGCCAAAAAAAAAATTGCTACTAATGGTTCAGTGAGATGCTCCAGCACAGATGGAACAAGGGAGACCACTCCTGAACAGGAAGAGGGTAATGAGGCATAAACAGCAGCAAGAGTGCATTCTCTTTTCTCAGTGTACCCTTTTTCAACTGACAGCACTATAATTGAGTAGCAAAGGGCTCCTGCCTCAGTGGGACTGCAACATCACCTTTCTCCAGAAGTGCAGCTGCAGGTCCTGACACTCCAAGGCTGCTTGTGAAATCCACCTTCTACCCGTTAAAACATAAACACTACAGAGGAGATCTCCCAATTTTGCGTTTGTAAGAGGAATAAGCTCCTTAAACAGCTCCATTTCCTCTAGGTTATGGACTAACTTCCAATGCCAGCGGCTTTGGATGCAAAGCCAGAACAACCTGGCTTCAGGGGAACTACTTCACATTTCAGCCTGATGCCTCAGACTGAATTCACGTTGAGGGGATGAGGCTATCACGTCAACACTCTTGCTTAATGTTTTGAGTCACGTATTATATTACTCACAAGACACAGTAATTGTCTTTCCATCCTTTCTCCCCTCACTAAGATGAATAACTTCTCTTATGGGGCAGGTTTTCCTAGGTGCTTTTGGTTAGAAAAAAACAGGTCACCTTCCCAGAAGGCTACCGAGCAGACAAAAAAAAAGCCCAACCAGAAACCTCCACTACCCCCCCCCATGACTTAAAATTATCAAATAAACCTGAAGTGAAAAGTTGCAGATTACTATTTACTTGTGAAAGGGATGTACGTGGTCTTGGTCCTGGGGGTTGCAAGTGCTATCAGAGGAGCATCACTGTGCAAACCTCTGGGTACAGCCACTGGTCCAGACATTCCCTGGGTGCAAATTGCTCCAGCTCCAACAAGGCCTCTCCACTCACTCCCCTGCTCTCCAGTAAATTATACATAGCTTATTATTTTTGTCCCAGCTGGTTATTATTTTTTTAAATTAAAAAAAAAAAACAAAACCTGAGGGCCTTCTCAGGTGCAGCCTCCACACTTGGGATTACAGCAACGAAAAGACAGGGAGCAGCCGGGCTTCGCCTCTGTCCTCAGCTCACTCTGGTGCAGTTCGGTGCCAGAGGGATCAGGAAAAGGCTCCACACTCCAAGCGCGTTGTTGCTCTTCCCTTCCACTGCTGTGATATTAAGCCATCCAAGAAAACGGGGGGGAAAATAGTTCAATTTACACAGAATGCCCCAAGCGCCCATAAGAGGGACACGCCAGTACTCTCGGCACATCCCTTGCTTTTCAAATCGTTTTTCAACTTTACAGCTCGGTGGTATAACAAAAACAGCTGCGCAGAGTTGTTCTGAATCCCTCCCTAACTTGTGCCTCCTTATTTGTGCCTTCCCTTGCTGCTGAGGCTCAGCAGCTCCTCAGCCCCTTCTCCTCGTGGCACATCATCGGTTCGCAGGGCACCGGGTGCTGGAGGGGCAATCTCACAAAATAAACAGCAAATGTTCCAAGAAGTTGTCTTTTCCCCACATAACTTTTTCTATAACTTACAAAAAAATAACCCATCGGATCCACGCCGGTTGTGGTTCAGCCCGCCATGTTTTGCGGAGTCCCCCTGCACGTTTTCAAGCATGCCCTGCTTGCTCTTGGTGCCTTGTGTGTCTTTCTGCACCTCACTCCAAATCCTCAGTCTCTCTCCCGCCCTTTTTTTGGGAGGGTTTTCCTCACTGTTTGCACCGCCGAGGCTGTATGTGGGTACCGGAGGAAGCAGATGGGTGGCCCCACTGAGGGGGGGGGAAGCGCCCCAAGATTCCTGCAGGGCTGGCAGCAGGCCTAGGCACAAACTCCCCATTATTTCTTGAAGGAGTGGGGTTTGAGATTTTCTTTTTTAAATATTTGAGGGAAAACAGGCCTTTCCCTAAGCCCCAAGCACCTCCATTCCTAGCTGCGGACACAAACCCAGCACCACCAAAGTGTCGGGGAGGGAGTGAAACATGGCCGCCCTCTCTGAGGGGAACCCGCCAACGCCCTCACCGTGAGGGGCTCATGGCTGCCTTGCTGCCCCCGCAACCCTCCCCAGGCACCTTCTCCTCAGTCCCTAAGACCTCTCCCCCCCTAGAAACTGCTTCGAATAATTGGAAATAACGGAGAAAATTCCCTCCGGGGCGGGAATGGAGCTGCACCGGCTCCGTTTGCAATCGCGCAGGACTGCCGTGGGGGGAAGGCGGGAAGCGGTTTACCTCAGGGGCTGGAGGTGGCCAGAGGCAGCCCCGAGTACATCTAGCCCAAGTTTTCCCTTTCCAGGGACATAAAAACTTGATGTATTGCAGCACCATCTGCTGGTTCCTGTAAGTAGGACACACGGGGATCTCCCAACGGAGCGGGAAGGAGTAGAAAGAGTTTGGGAAGGGGTTTCGCGTGTTTTTTTGCACGTGGGCTTTTCCTGGAGGTTTGTTTTTTTTTCTTGTAAAGGCGCGAGTTGTCTCTAAATAAGCAGTATAAGAAAAGCCACCTACCCGGAGAAACAGCAGACAAGCTAGAGCCGAGTTTAGGGAATAGTCCAATAGTCAAAATCCAGGTTTTTCCTTACTCCTCTAAAGCCTGGTCAGTCTGCAGAGCCCCTGGGGGAAGGATTTTCTGATGTGACCAGCTGCTTGTGGGCACTTTGATTTTTTTTTTTTTCCTAAGTTTCTGACTCGGGCTGCCTGCCCTTATTTATTTAAGTTTTCATTTCGTGCAGCCCCAACCTGCTGCTTTCCGACCCTGTGGTCCCGTGGAGGGGCTCAGCCCACCCGCCCACAGCCACCAGCCCTTTGCTAAGCCCTTGTTGCCTTTACAGTCTTTCCTCATTCCAACCGGTTTCCTTCCTGGGCTTGATTCATCCCAACAGTGAAGTCATGTTGGTGAACTTTATTGAAAGTTCCTCCTTGCTGTTAATTTACAGCCTGGTGAAGGCAAAAGGAAGAGATTGGGATTTTTTTTTTTTCTCCTCTCAGTGAGTGACTTGAGATAATAAAAATATGAAGAAACATGTTACTTTGAAATTATGTTATGTAGAGGAATGGCACTCACCTCTTTTGCTTCTTTAAAATTCGAGTACAATACTAATTAAACCATGACTAAATAAAACTGGCCCACCCTGTACAGTGTTTGATTTGAAATTAAAAAAGTTTCCCTCTACAGGGCCCAGCAAATGTCCAAGGTTCAAACAAAGTACGAGGTGCTAACGAACAGAATCTTGACAAACCTTGTTTTCCTGCACAGGGGCTCGGTACATAATGATTTCATTCAGCAGCTACTGTTCAAGCATGGAAAGTGTTGGTAAAGAAATCCCACAGAGATCAGACAACCATTTTCCTAACTTAAGCTTCCCCCTCCACTCTTTCCCCCCCCACCCTCCCCTTTGCCTTTCAGGCCTCTGCCAGTCATAACATAAATATTCATCAGCTGATATTTGCAGTAGCTGCGAAGTTATGAATGAGGCCAAAGCCTTTCCCTCCTGCCCCATCTGCAAAATGGCAGCTTCTGGTCTTAGCTCATGGTCAAACGACACTTTCCGAAATCCCCGCAGTGCACTTGCAGGCTTTTCAAATTCAGTCGGGTTTTTAATGCGCAAAGCAGAGATGCTGTCTACCTAATATTTACCCTGGGATTACTGGAAAAAAAAAAATATATATATTACTTTGCTATGCTTTAAACTTTGCGATGCCTTGACGTAATAGCCAGAAGTGTTGGCAGCTCAAAATGTTGGTTGGTTTATTTCAGGGGACACGACTGCTGCAGGTTTCCTTTCTGAATCGAATACCAGACACTTGAACCATTTGTTGTGCAGAAAAGAGAAACGGCTTTTATTCTTAATGCTGGTTTCTTAACCACCTGGGTGCTGTCAGAAGGAGCCACATGCACTGGAAAACACTTTTAATAAGACTCCTTTAAGCCTGCCTTGAACCTTGGATCCTGACAAATGGAATCCCCACTGCCTGTCATACGTGTTTTCTCTCTACAGATTAGCGAGGGGTTGCTGCTTTAAAAATGTTCCATTCTCACAAAGCCTGGAATTATGCTCTCAAACCTACCACGGGTCAGCAGAACAGTGGAGACATCTGATGTAGCCACACCAGCAAAGTCAAAAGCAGACGTCAAAGAAACAAGGTGACAGTACAGAGGTTTAATGACTTTAATTAAGCAAGGTACCTTTCCAGCCAAAAAGCTGTACTGATGGACCCAGATGGGGACCTTAAACCAAAGCATCACTGGGTCTTAAAGGCTTAAGAATCCTAAATGCCCAGAGGCATTGGGAAGTCCTGACAAAGAGACTCAGCACCATTCAGGATCAAGGCCCTGGAAAAACCTTTTCATAGCTTGGTTTGCACAGATCAATCATGCAAACTGTCCTTATCTTGCCTAATTAATAAATAAATAAAAAATTAACATCAAAACCAAAGGAAAGTGATAGGCTTAGGAAGTTTTAGAGATCTTGCAATCAATCATCTCGTTTGATTTTGACCGTGAAAAAGCCAGAACTATTTACCCAACAACCCTCCAATGTTTTTGGCCAAAATGGAGCATATCTTCTCAAAACCCATCTATTTTTCATTTAAATACTACAAAGGACAATTTACCACATCCCTTGGGAACATTCCAACACTAATAACCCTTGCTGCTAAAAAAAAAAAAAAAAAAAGCCCTCACACTTTGCTTTTAATACCTTCAGCTTTCAGCCAGAGGATCCTCTATGTCTGTTTTGAGATGAAGGAGCCCCAAAATCATGTCACCTGCAAACCAGGACCAAGTACCTTGCAGCAAATTACACTACACCCAAAAATCCCAAGTTCTTCCTAGGCTGCCGACCCTGTTTTTGTCAGCTGTTTACATACTATTGTGCTGCTTGAGAGCATCTTCTTGGGGCAACGGAAGCGTCTTTGTGACAGTGGAAGTGAACAGTAATTAATTGCCACACTTCACTGAACACACAAATATTGGGATGAGCTGTTCTGGCCTTTTCCATGATGACCCAGCGCCGCAGGACGGTCTAACTGCTGCCAGCGCTAGGAACCAAAACAAGAGGGAAAGAATGAATCACAGTGACACCTTCCCACAGCCAGTGAGGCAGCGGGGAACAGAGTGTACACCAATTCCAAGGAAAAAAGGAAACTTCAAGGAATTTCTCCTTAGTTGTTTTCCCAAGAGGGTGGGAAGGTGAGACCGAAAAAGACTCTAGAGTAGGATATTCTCTCCTGCATTCCCATATATCAATAGACATAGCAATAAACATATTAATTTTCCTGTATTAATAGCCAAAAAGCTTCTGGTAGAGGCAATAAAAATCCTCCAAGGTAAACTATGCAGTGCACAGATTCTGTCAGAATGGCACAGCTGTGCTGCAATCACAGCTCCAGAGAGCATGGCAGCAGCCACAGTGTTGGCTGAGGCACGCTTCCATGCTGCAGCCAACATCTCTGCTCATCACAGCACTGAAGATTTCCAAACACATCAGTAAACAGCAACACAAATTAATAAACGAGCCTGGGGGCTGGATGTGCTCTGCAGCTCCTTGTTCTTTGGATGCACTTTACATCCTCTGTAATAACTTGACAATACAACTCCCTTCCATATCAGAGCAATAATGGGAAAAGGATTGAGAATCAAAAGGAATACTTTTTTTTATCTTTTTATCTTTATGGTAAAAGGGCCTGCCTGTGATAGATCAAAAGTATGGTTTTGTGCTTGCTGAGGGGACACGTACACCCAAACCCAACACACTTGAAGCTGATAGAAAGCAGAGCAGGCAGATGGTTACACTGACTGGGCTGACTGTTCATTAACATGCCAGCGAATTATTTTGGCCCTGTGTGGTTTTGTAATCTGCTCTGCAGCAGTTACAAACCTACACATAACCACTTGCAAGTGACTGTCCATAGACTAACAGGAGAAGACACTGTTAATGATGCACCAGAAGGTCTTCCAAGTCTCTCTGGTACCACTGAATCACCAGAACAAAATCTGGAGCTGGAACTATCAGAGATGTCTTTTAGGTCTGCTGTACAGCTGTGGCAGGCTTCCAGGTTAACAGGGAGAGCATGAAAAGCAAAAGACTGAATCCAGTTAAGGTATAGTTTATGGATAAATAATGTGGAAAATTAAGCACAGGGCTCAGGAGATACCTGGTTTGTTTAAACACTGAAGTGTGCATGTCATGCACCAGGGCTGTTCATTTTTCTATCCACAAAAGATGGGTTGGATGGGGCTCTGAGCAACTTGGTCTAGTGGAAGGTGTCCCTGCCCATGGCAGGGGGTTTGGAACTGGGTGAGCTTTAAGGTCCCTTTCAACCGCAGCCATTCTGGGGTTCAGCAGCAATTCTGTAGCAGGGCAAGTTTGTCTGGGAAATACCAGCAGCATTTAGAAGGTAACTGCACTGGCCTTGCCAAATTGCAATCACTGCACAACTTAACTGCTCTGCTCCAGCTGGGGCCTCAAAATCCCTCATGAAAGCGACAACCAAGCAGCTCACATGACAGCTGCAAGTCCCACAGATTCAAATACTATGGACTTGATGGGACACACCAAAACTTCCAGTGAAACCAGTGAAAACTTTAGTGTCTCTTGGGAGGGTAGGGAGAGCTGAGCCTGCAGGTTCAGATTCTCAGCTGACATAGGTCAGTACAACTCCACAGATTGCAACAGAGCTGTGCTAGCTCACAATTTAGCCCTAAACATTTTGTACAAAGATTGTATCAGCATCTAAACAGATGAAGTGGGAAGAATGTTGTGATGGCAGTGGGCTTCTTTATTGACTCCAAAGCATGACCCATACAGCAGAAATTTTATCACAGCAAGCCCTAAACTCCCTGGGCCCGGGACAGCACTGCTGAGCGAGGAGTGTGCTGGGGGCAACAGCACTTGAAGGTCTTTGCTAATCTCCTTTCCAACTTCCTTACCATGGCTACAGGTGATGTGCAGCCTGGGAAGCAGGGACCTTGAGGAGGCACTCGGTGCTTTCTCTACTGCCCTGAAGTGCTGCTGAAGCACCACAGGCCACCAAAGTCCCACCCGTGCAGGTTCCTCTCTCCCGCCTGGCAAACCACTCTAACTAGACTTCAACTTTAACCCTGGGTAGGGAGCTCTAGAAAAATGAGAGTAGCTCTTACCTTCTGGCCGAAAGCCCTTTACCAACACCCACACCTCATTTGAAAGAATTTCCCAAGAGCAAAGACCCGAAGGTCCCAGGCCTTTCTCTCGTTCCAGGTTCCCTGTGAGATCACACCCAAGGAGTTCCCAGTGAAGGCTGATGTGGACACAGCAGCACACGCAGGCTGTGATGAGGTGTGATGCCACACCAAGGAGAGGGAGACTGGCACCCTCAGTCCTGCAGCCATGGATCAGGAGCTGTGGAACAAGCTCACCAGGAGGCAGTAAGGAAAGGAGGTGGATTAGTGCCAACTCACCCTGTATTTGCAGATATATTCAGTTGTGCTTTCCTGAGACTGTGACCGAGTTCCCTTTTTCTAATATAAATTTTTCTAACTCTTTCCAAAAGCTTGCCACTGGAGTTCCTTGTATGAAGGTGCTTCTTTGGTTTTTCCAGCTTCCTGAGCAGAGACTTAAGCTTGACAAAAGGCATTTGTTTATACCCAATTCAGTAACTTTGCTGCCTGGTGGGAAGGCTGCAGATGTGTAACTAACTCCAAAGTCAGTAACAATTTGTATTAAAATTATAATACCCTTCCTACATTCTCCAACCTCTTACCCTTGATAGAGCATGTGAGCAGACCCAGAGGAAGCTTAGGTATGAGAGATGATCCTGCTGTTTGAATTCCCACCTCTGATGAGCATTAAGGTCTTACCTGTTAAGAAAACTGTTTCTCTCACATCCATGCAAGATTTCTGGGTCCTGTTGCCTGTTTCTGGGTAACAGTACATGCTGAACTTACTTGCTGACCATACCAAGTAGAAATATGTAAAATACACATCCTGAAAATGTGTAACGGCTCAATTTATACATATTTATGTTACCTTACTGCAGGATCTTCACACCTTCCTTTGAAGTCTTTGTGACTGTTCTTAAAAATTAAACAAAGCTCACATGGAATAAACCTAATGGTGAATACTTGGTCTTCAGGAACCCTTTCAATGAAAACAGAATGTTTTAAATCCACTACTTTCAGTTCTCCTGACAGGAAAACCTAATTAAACACAGTATAGAGAATTAAAGGGGTTAGTATACTACTAAAGGGACTTGGGGGGGAAGAGAACTAAAATCATGTTATGCTACTGGATTTTAGAAAATCAGCAAGAAATAAGGGGTCTTCCATTCCCATACTGCAAAGCCACCACGACCAGATTTTGCTTGGCAAAGTGGCAGAGCATAAGGTATAGTCTCACTTGTACAAGGAGCTTCACCTTCTGCAAGGAAAAATGCCCAGGTTAGAGGCTCTGCTGTGGCCCAGCTCTGCCTCTGCCCTGTGGTTCACCTGTAGACCTTCCTCATGGTTATTAAGTATTTGTGATATGTTTTGTCCACTCCAGAGTTACCTCCCTTATGGAGAGCAGAGAATTAAGGTAGTGAAATGGAAAGTTAAGGGACTTAGCTGAGGAACCTGTTTCTACTGGAAGACTTTCTCTTCCTGTGCCTGTCGATTGACCCTTCTGACTGTTGAGCAGAGGCTGCTGCCTGCAGAAAACCATCTCTGCAGAGCACAGGGCTGCCTTGACCTGCTGTCAAAAAACAACAGCCAACATTAATCACTGCCAGGCTGGTTATAGGAACGTCTCCCCCTTGGCTGAATAAAGCAGCTGTGTGCATCTCCCAGCCTTCCACAGCAGGAAGGTGCCTCCAGTGCAGCTGATTGCTCCGTGGAGTTAATGACCTGAGCACCCTGCAGGATTGGGACACAGGAGAGGGACTGACAGTCTCAGGGCATTCCTGAGACATGGTTCATCCTGCCCATCTGAAACGATGACTGAGGAGCTGTAAATCCCTAAGGAGGAATCATATCTTCCAAGTTCAGCTGGGGCAGCCTGTGGATGCCCCTTCCAGAGCTCCAGGCCCTGGAATAACACAGGGCTGAGCCTCTGGGGCGCTCTTATGTTGGCACAACGTACCTCTGCCAAGGAGGAAGCTGAACTCCAACACAAAAGGCATTTTGCATCTGGAGGACATGTTCTCAAAGCAGCAAAACATCTTTGTTATGAGTGTAACATATGTGGTACTCTCCCTCTGTTTGGCAGGAGATAAGAAAAACAGAAGCAAGGCAAAAATGAAAACAAAATGGAGCATATAGGGCATCATGAAACAATTACAGCGCTGCCTCTCATTAGGGTCTCAATCTGGGCTTGCCAGTCTTGTTTTAAAAACAGTTTTATTCAACACCCAGTGACAGAGTTTAAAAGCTGACGTATCTTGCTGTATTGTGGGCCACAGCCACAGCTGGTGTAAATCAGTATAAACTAATGAAGTCAATGGAGCTTCTCTGATTTACACGAGCTGAGGTTATGGCTCAATAAGGTTAGGCTTGCTTTCTAGGAGCGTTCAAGGAAGCCAACTTCTGTGTGTCCTGTGATGAAGTGGTTATTTATAATGGTCTTCAGTGTGGTTTGGAGCCAAATTTCCACATCAAAAGTAGCTTTATAAGAGATATCCTTACAGTGAGGTTCAGTGCAAAATCATGACTTCAGAAGCCAGCTTTCCTCGTGCTCTCAAGTATTTGATTTCAGCCTGAAAACCATTTGAGAAGCCAAGAAAAGCAGAGCCATTCCTGCCTACTTCCCCAGCTCTGCTTCATCTTTGAGTCTCCTGCATATCCAACAGGCCCCGACCTACACTGCCCATTTATCAAAGCCAGTTACTCTAAGTGTCTGTTTGTTTATCTTCAGAAATTCCCAGGAAGACAGACAAGTTTCATGCTTAACCTGAAAAATTGGGGGTGGAGGTGGAGTTCTTACCCGTTCCAGAGCTGTTTGTTTGACTTGGCCACCGGTAAAAATAAAACACAATAACGTGTCCCGGAGTCACAGCGAGAGGTGGAGGTCACAAGAAAACAGATCATGTCTTTCACAGCTCTTCAGCTCCAGTGCACTGAATTATGACTCCTATTATTTACTTACTGGATTCTCCACCCTGGGTGCAGGCTCCAAGCATTCAAAAAGCAGCAGGTCTCTGCTTCAAAGGGCTGACAGGCAAGTGAGAGGGTAAAATCTGTCCTGAAGCTTTCTATCTGAGAGGTCAACGTTCTCACAGCTCTCAGCTGACTTCTGCCATCTTCTGCTCAGCCATGCCTGCAGTCCTGCACCTTTGTGCTCTCCTCTGCTCAGTGAAACAGCATCTCATGGCAAATGCATTCCCCTCACAGCCAAACCTGCTCTCTGGGCACAAACCACCCATGTGTTGCAGCTCAAGGTGCTTTGGAGAAGTTCATTAGTTTTTCTTAGGAGGCCCCTGCTCCCTGCATGTCCAACCTTGGTGTGATCTCCCACAGATCTACTACCAGATGTCCAGACAATATCACGGGCCCTTTCACTGACCTTGTCACTTTGAAACAGGTTGATTTCTTTAGAACTCCTTGTTAAAAAAAGGGTGTCTTGAGTCCAGCTGCTGAGCCCCCAAACCAGGGCTGAAGCCTCTCCAGATCTCCGGAGTGGTTTCTCCACATCCTGTGGAGAATGCCAAGCTCTGTGGGCTCACTGGGGCCAAGGAGACAACTTTGTGGGGATGCTTCCAAAAAGGGTTCACTTGATACTTAAAGGTAAATAATTTTCTACTTGACATATCTGTTATTTTCTTCTGTTATATTGCTGTAGGAAGATCCATCACCACCTGCTCTGTGTGCTCTGGTTTTTTCTCAGCTTCACCACGTGAAGCAACCGCGAGGTAAAATTTTTTCTTAGCCTGCACAATATTTAGCTTTTAAAATGGTCAAGGGCACTCAGTCTTTCTCCTTTCTAACCCAAAACCAAAGAGAATTCCTACTTTTTCTTTTTTAATAATTTCCACAAGCAGTTGTGTTTGGTTGTCCCAAAATCAAGAGAAATTCTCTTCCCCGTGGAATATTTTTAAAAAAGAATTTGACCGGGCAAAATAATTTCATTTCTGTTAACACTGTCTCACAGCCTTTCAGTATTTGGCTCTAATTTTGGGGTTTAATGCATGTCTAGTCTTACTAGGGTTGAACTGGAAGGCAGTCAGACAATTCTCAGATAACAAGCAGGAAAAAACAACGTAAATCCACTCTCCCGGAGGAACTAGAAATAGTTAATTACACACAAGTGACAAACCCAGTTTCCTCACCATCAGAACTTCTACTGAACCACAGAGTTTCAGCACTTTCCTTGAATCTGGTTGGGGCAAAGACAGGAAACTGCATCTTCTAAACTTTAGAAATAGATCTTAACCATGTAAACATAAGATATTATGCCCCTATCTTTTAAGTAACATTTATATTATCTCAAATAAACAGTCTCTCCCAAGTTAGTCTGTAATTGACATCTGACACAGTCCACATTGCAACAGAAATGATAAGTGCAGTAAACAGCAGAAATTATGCTTCTCTGGGCTCGGAGAAACATTCATATTTCCTTGCACAGATAAACTTTATTTTGTTGCTACGCAACCCTCACACAACACACCCCATTCTGGAGTAAATAACAGCACAGATTTTTACAACTGCAGGGCAAGCATGTGGCCTTTTGGGTTTTCTCCCCATTTTGAGTTCCAGCCCCAGCTTTAGTTCACATTAGAATATTCCATCATTTTCTTACAGAGCTGCCCCCAAAGCTCAGTGAGGGATATTTCAAACAGGACAGTCAGAACACTCGAGTCCTTCTGGGGCTGATGGGGAACAAATGGTGGAGCCTCTGACATCAGTGAAACCACGAAATCAAGGCTTTTTTCTCTCTTTTTAATCTCCCTTAGAAATGAACATTTAATTTCCACAACAAGATATTCAAAACCTTTGTGCAGTGGCCTCTCCCCGCTCCCAGTAACACTTCAACACCTGCACCACAAGTGAGACAGGTGAAGAGCCACCCTTAGTTTTACCCAAGGTGAGAATAACAGAGTCTTACCTACTTGGCTTTTTATAATTGCAAAAATTTCTCCTGACTGCAGAGGGTATTTGGATTGTTCAGGGAACAGAGGTGCAGGTCCTGTGTGTCTCTGCACCCTCATCATAAGCAGAGTGAATAAGACCAAGATTTATCTGTCTGAAGGGTGCTCGTGGACACTGAGTAGAGCCACAAGGACCTTCCCAAGCCATGGGTTAATGCCTCAATTATTCAAGTTGCTCTTTTGCACATGGCTGCAAATCCTGCAAACTCTCCCAGGTAGCATCAGCCTTCCCTTGCCAGTGTCAGCAAATGAATCCAGGTGAAAAATGTGACTCAGATCCAAGGATCTGACCTATGTCCAATGCACATACAGAACAGCTGTCTGATTGCAAAGGGGTTTGTACCACTCAAACAGCAGAATTCCCCCTGTTTTGCTTTGTTCTTTGGTTCTTTACAACTAAGAGTCCCCTGAGGTCCTACAGCCGACGTGCTACAAGCCCAGCTGCTTACAAAGTCCTAGCACAGAGTCACCAGGCAAATGACACTCTGTTCATAAGAAAGCAAGATTTAATCTCTGCAATCTCCAGTCTAGTTTCTCTAAACAGTGAGCAAGAAGTATCTTTTGCATTTTAAATTTCAGCATTTCTGCTTGCTGTCAAAACATTCCTGTTTACAGTTTCATTTTAGCAGCTGAGTTACTCCCAGGCATAGAAATTAATATCAGCATTGGTTGCAAAACCCCTTGAAGTTTCTTGTGCCGATCTTGTACCAAGACCCATCTCTAATCACACCTCCCAGTACAGCAGCTTTCCTCAAGAGCCTAAAACATTTGGAAACACCTGTAAAATTTGCATTGAGTATTTTCTTCAGGAAGTGACGTCTTACGGGCTGTGCCTTCTCAGTCAGGGTTGCAGGGTGAGGCCCACAGAGCAAACACAGTTGGGTTTTGTCTGGAAGCAAAACAGGCAACACACGAGGCAAAGTCTTCAGACCTAAATCTTGGAAGACAACACTTGATGTCTTCGGATCAGTGTCCTGCTGATTTCTTCTACCCTCCGGCATCCTGGAGGAGAAGTTACATGTCGGTTGAAACTCCTCTCTAAGCCTTTTCTTTCTCTGTCTCATAAAAATTTACCTTCTGTGCGACAAAATCCCCCCCTTAGTGACCAAGGATTTGCCATTACTTCTCTATGGATTTATTGCTCTCCTTGTGAGAAAAAATAAATTTATTGTTTTTACATAATCTACCCAGTTCCCCTTTTATTAAGGCAGGGATAACAAGTCCTCTCCCCATTTCTCCACAGACTAACCTGTTTATATTGCAAACATTCCCCTCCTGCAAGTTGCTATAGCATCTTGCCCAGGGCAAAGGAAAGCTGTGAGGAAATGTGGTTACGGAGAGGAAATATTGATGCCTCACCTGTCAGTGCCATTGCCAGGCGAAACTCCTCCTTCAGCATCTGGAGAACTTCTTTTGCTCCTTCTTCACCCTGGGAGATGAGGAGACAACGTGTGCTGTTATGTGTGTAGGTATAGATATATATATACACACGTGCCAAAAAAGGGTTTATGCCCCAATGTAAATCCTGAGTGTTTGTCATAGCAAATTTTAACAGATGATCTGGACGCACCCAGACCCACGGAGACACCATCACACACACTCCCGTTGCACACAGACTCGTGTACGTGCACAAAAAAAGCCCAAACAGTGAGTTTAGGTGTCTAAAAACACGCATTTCAGCTTTTTCTAACTTACTTGATAAGCCAGCCCCCAGAGCAGAGGTCTTCCAATGAACACAGCTCTGGCACCGAGAGCAAGAGCCTTGAGGACATCGGTGCCTTTCCTCACCCCGCCGTCCAGGAACACCTCCACCTTCCCCTGCACGGCCTCAACGATCTCAGGCAGCACATCAATCTGCAAGAGTGACACCACAAACACAGCTCAGCTGCTTCTGGAACCCTGCTCATGTTTGGGATGAGTTCTTACACGCAGGATCCAGGCTTTACACCAAGTCAGTGAGCAACTGAGTGAGCATGCACAACTATACCCAAAAAACAGGCCTTTGTATTTATGTTTGTGACTTAGTAGGTTAGCAGGGATAGACAGGGGTCAAATTTATTTGGAGTGTCCCATAAAGACAATCAGCAGGGTCACAGAAAACATCCATCTGATCCCATGACGTGGATCTGACACAAGCCGGGATCTGATTCTTATGCAGAATGCAAGAAACAGCCAGCACAGAGGAGGCCTTTCCATGGGATTTCCTCCCAAAATTCCAGTCTTCACTAGTTCAGGGATGAAACTGAATCACTGCCACTTTTTAAATAATCATTTTTGCTTCCCTGTTTAAATTTATTATTCATTTATCCTGAGAGCCCAGCTAACACCGGGATCCCCGAGGCAAGTACTGGGCCTATGGACAAGGAGTAAGAGAAAGGTGTGCCTGGAGGAACTTGGAGTTGGCTGAAAATCTTAATTAATGTATTTCTCCTCTGTAAAATGCATCTTATCACAGGAATAACTGCAGACAAAAACCTAATGGAAGAAACAATTAGTTTTCCCCTAAGTTCTGAGCTAGGTAGGATGTTGCTTTCACCAAGCTCTACTTATCCCCTCTACCAGTGATACAGGGAAAAGGGAAAAGTATTTTTACTCCTCCCAAGTGACAATTAACCAAGGAATTTATTCCTCTTGCCATGCAAGAGGTCCCAGTCAAGGGATGAGCCTCCTGAATTCAAGCCTGGAGTATTAATTATAGGGCAGCTGCTCCTATAAGGCCACCTAAATAGTTCCTATTCATGAAAATCAGGAAAGACACAACCCCAGAAACCAAGCATTAAGGGGGCTGGAAACGGTGTGTGGTAGGAAGACAAAAGACACACAAATCCATGCCTTTCAAATACGGATGTAATTCATTTCCTTTCTAATGGATAAAAATGACTGGAAGACGGGAAGGGGGGGAAACCAGCTTGAAAGTGCAGTTTGTTTTTAGATTTGGATTAAAATTTTCTTGAAGTTTGGCACTTGCTGTGATTTTCCCCCTCCCTTTGGTTTTGCTCTCTTGCCAAACATATTTCGGGTCTCTTTCCATATACAGAGACCACTTTCTACATCCTGACAAACTGTACCAAACTTTAAAGTGCTCTAATAAGTAAAGCATGATGCAAACCATCATTAAAACAGAGATTTCCTCAGTGGGTAACTAGACACCAGAAATATTGACCAGCTTGGGTTCGGCTCACCATCTGAAAAGCCAAAATGACATTGAAGCAAATTGTTATGTTTCTGAATCAAACATTTAGCATGATGTGATACAGATATTTATATGATAAAATCTGCATTGTGCAGGGCACTTCTTTAGACCATAAATCCAGCTTTAGTAGTTCTCCTCCGTGCTCTGGTGTTGCAAAGGAATAACCCAGAATGTGCAAATCTCTGTTTTACTGCAGCTGTCAAAAAACTAATTCGTATTTCTCGAGCTTTCTCGTCTCTCAAAATGATCTTTTTAACATCCTCATACGTTGTTCCTGCTGGATTCCCTCACACACAGGCTTGCCTGAGATTTTCAAATACTCTCAGTGGAACTGGGACTGCATTCTCAGAAGGTGACAAGATGACCTGTTCCCCTCTCCCTTCAGGGAATCCTCATGGAAAACAGGAGGTTTTTCATCAGGAACACATTGGAAATACTGAAAGAGGCACAACCGGGCTTTGATTCTCCTCCCTTTCATTCTCTTTTTATTTGTGCAGCTTTCCCACACCAAATGAAGCAGGATGAGTGATGACTGGAATTTTGGGGTTTTTCCTTCAGCCTGAACACATACTTTTTCATTTGCCTTTCCTTCTTTCTTTTTTGCCGACCAAGAAATTCTCAAATCCCTTTCACCTTTGGAAAAGGCCCGGGGTAGCACGACAAGGAAAAGGAAAAAGGAAAAAACTGTAATTTAACCACTCTGTCCCTTTTCCAAAGGTGAAAAATATTTGAAAGGAGAAAAAGAGAGAGTTTCATTCTGCCTTTAGCTGTTCCATAACTGTAATTTTTCAGAAGCCTCTAAAGAATATTAAAAGGGGAAAAACAACTCTAATACAACCTTCAGTGTGCTGCAAATGGCAACAGGAGTTTTTCAAAACAAGAATGGGAAAGGAGACATGAAAGAAGGGACTGGAAAAAATGTCTTAAGGGTTTTCCAATTTGATCTGAGCAAGGGGAGGCTGTGTCTAACTCGGAGCATGGTGTGACACACCCAGAGAAGTGGAGAGAGGTCCCTCACGGGTTAAGGCAGATAACACATATTCCAGGTTTTCCCTCCAGCCTCCAGAGAAAGCAAACAAGCCAAAGGCAGAGAAAATTAGGGACTAATTGATGCATATTGGCCCCAGTACTTACAGTTGCAGGGACCCCATCGAGCTGTCGTGCTCCGTGATTTGACACCAGGATACCATTTACCCCAATCTTGAGAGCTTCTTTAGCATCATCAGCTGGGAAAAAAAAAATCCAAACTAGTTATGTTCTTCCATACCTGGGAGCTTGTCAACACCACGCTGAGGGGAATTTTGGGATCCCTAAAAAAATTCTTGCCAGCTAATGCAAAGCCACCTTGGGGCTTCAGCCTTCCAAAGCCTCACCTCAGCACAGAAAAAAGTTTCATTTTTAAGTAATAAGACCAGAAAGTAGTTTGAAAGCTTAGAGAACATTTAATCCCTTCGGATCAGCAGCCACTTGAGTTGCTAGTCTTTATTTTCTCTACTGTGTTCTAGAACTCATCACTAAGAAGTTATTTTGCTGAATGATTTCATCCAAGCCAAAATTTTTGGCACGATTACAGTAATAATCCAGACTTAATGAAACCACTACACTGTGCTCAGTGCTCTTTGGACTGAATGGAAATCCAGCTTCCCCTCAAGTTGTATCAACTCAGGTCAGGGTTTGCAGGCACAATTAAACAGAGCAAGTTCAATCTTCCTGGCTGCATCCGATTTCAGATGCAAGTTTAATCAGCTGCTTCCACAAGTGTCTTCATTACTGGCTTCTTAATGGTGTAGAGGAGGAGAAAGCTTTTCCCTCACTTCCCCACTGGAAGCAACAGAGCTACACA